CGAGGAGAAACAGGGCGCAATAGAATCACAGCCTGCACAGGCTTCTTGTAGTTGGCCGCGTGGCCTGAGATGCATGGCTGCATGGCCGGTTGTCCTGAGATGCTGCTGCATGGCCGGGTGGCCTGAGATGCATGGCTGCATGGCCGGTGGCCTGAGATGTTCCACAGCTCCATGTTGAACATGTTAGGCGTCACGACCTGATGATGTTGTGGAGGGGTGGGAAGAGGAGGGTAGGAGGAAACATAGGTGAGGAGACGAGGGGCGCAGCAGCAAACAGCAGGAGCCCTCCCACTCCACCCCCCCTCACTCCATTCCCCCTTACTCACCTTGTGGTAGCCTCGCTTCCGGTACTCGCCCTGGATGAACCCCACCAGCTTGTTGTATATCCGCGCACCATGCGGCAGGAAGCAGCAGCAGCAGCACAACACTAATTCTCACCTCCCACCACCTCCCTCCCTCCCATATCTTCGCCCTCCCATCTTCTCCCCCCCCCTCACCTCGTGGTAGCCTCGCTTCCTGTATTCGCCCTGGATGAACCCAACGAGCTTGTTGTATATCCGCGCGCCGTGCGGCAGGAAGAAGCAGCTTCCGGGGCTGCAGGCAGGGAAAAAGGGTGGGAGAAACGAGGAGAGTAGACGGGGGTGAGCGGGAAGAAAGACTTTTACACTCCATGGGCCCTGGAATGAACCCCACCAGCTTGCTGTATATCCGCGCTCCATGCGGCAGGAAGAAGCAGATTCCAGGGCTGCAGGCAGGCAGGGAGGGGAGGGGATGTAGGGGGAGAGTAGATGGGAGTGGGTGGGTCAGCCCTGGATGAACCCCACCACCTTGTTGTATATCCGCGCTCCATGCGGCAGGAAGAAGCAGCTTCCAGGGCTGCATGCCATGGGAAAAAGCAAAGTGGAGGAAGGGGATGTCTTATGAGCAGGTGGAGGACGGCATACGAGTGGGTGGATTTCGGGGGGGGAGAGAGGGGGGGAGACAGGGGATGTCTTATGAGCAGGTCGTAACTGGTACTAGCCAAAACCAGTTAGCAGAAACCTCGATGGTGTCTACTCGGACGATGGTAAGCAAATGAATCGGTGGAAAGCAGTACCTGAGCGGGTGGAAGAAGAAAAGGTCCTGTGGGAGCCCCACCATGCGGTGGTCTGAAGAAAGGTATAAGCTGAAACCAGTTACCATCAATGTTGTTGCTGCCACATGAATTCATGTCACCTAGATGATGTTACTGATATGACGGTACCTAAGCGGGTGGAAGAAGAAGAGGTCCTGCGCAAGTCCAACAACACGATGGTCTCGCTTCTTGGCCTCCTCTAACACGTGCAGGTACTCCTGGTGCAATGTGAGGGGTGGAGAGGGGTGGAAGGGGGTGGAGAGGGGTGGGGTGAGATAACGAGTGATTGCAATGATAAGGTGGTATCGCTTCTTGGCCTCCTCCAACACGTGCAGGTACTCCTAGTGGTGGGTGGTGGTGGAGGTGCGGGGAGAAAGGGGAAGTGATGGGTGGTGGGAGAACGAAAGAAAGAGGCTGTGTGTGTGCCGTATGTTCGCTGCAAGCTCTCTCTGTTGGCCTGAGGTGACCAGTAACCCAACTCCACAGAAATATCTCACCTTGAGCTTCTTGCTGTCGGGATATGAGATGCCGTACACTCGCTGCAAGCTCTCTCTGTCAAGTGTGTGTGTGTAAGTGTAAGTGTAAGTGTAAGTGTGTGTGTAAGTGTAAGTGTGTGTGTGTGTAAGTGTAAGTGTAAGTGTGTGTGTGTGTGTAAGTGTGTGCGTCTGTGTGTTGAGAATGTCTCACCTTGAGCTTCTTGCTGTCGGGATACGAGATGCCGTACACTCGCTGCAAGCTCTCTCTGTCTGACTGCCCCCTCCAATACGATGCTGATGCCTGCTCAGAACCCACAGCAGGGCGACAGGGGAAGGGAAAAAGGGGGGAGAGAGAGAAAGGGGAGAGTGAGAAGTTTCAAAGCCCTAATTCATCTTGAAACAAGCGAAGGCCTTGACGTGGGCAACGCAACCACTTACAATCCCTCTGAACCGCTCTGGACATCTCTGGACCTTGCTGAACCACTCTGAACCGCCCTGCACCCACCTTGAGGCAGGCGAATGCCTTGACGTGGGCAGTTTTGGGGATGCGGGGGCTGCAGCACAGATCAACTACCAAATTCTCTGTACCGCTACACTGAACCACTCTGAACCGCTCTAGACCCACCTTGAGGCAGGCGAAAGCCTTGACATGGGAAGTGTTGGGGATGTGGGGGCCACGGCACAGATCAACCAAGGGCCCGCAGCGGTACACGGTGATGGTCTTGTCCTCTGGGAGGTCCTTGATAATCTCCACCTGATGGGGGACGAGAGAACACGGGGTTGAGGGTATAGGGTACATGTCAGGGTAGGGTCTCACATGGGACAGTGTGAGTGATGCTAGGCACAGGTCATCAGAGATCAACCAGCGGGCCGCAGCGGTACACGGTGATGGTCTTGTCCTCTGGGAGGTCCTTGATGATCTCCAAGAGGAGATGATGATCGAGCAGGCAGTAGGTAGGTGATGATCTCGAGCGCCTGCTGCCGCCCCCCCCCGCGTCACCTCGATGCACGTGTAGAAAGAACATTTTTGAGACGTCTCAAGAATGTTCTTTCTACACGCAGCGGTACAGCGTGATGGGCTTGTCCTCCAAGAGGCGATGATGATCGAGCAGGCAGTAGGTCGTTGATGATCTCGAGCGCCTGCTGCCGCCTGCGTCACCTCGATCCGCTCAAACGCCTGCTTCTCCTTGGCTGCCTTGCCTTGCCTGCCTTGTCCTCAATGGCCTTAAGTTGAGCTGACACAGAAGTCTTCTCACCTTGAACGGGTTATCAGCAAACATCTCAAGCGCCTGCTGCCACCCGCGTCACCTCGACGCACAAAGCCTGCTTCTCCTTGCCCGCCTTGCCCTCAATGGCCTTAAGTTGAGCTGACACAGAAGTCTTCTCACCCTGAACGGGTTATCGGCGAACATCTCGAGAGCCTGCTGCCTTGTGACTTCGATGCGCTCAAACGCCTGCTTCTCCTTGGCAGCCTTGCCCGCCTTTTGAGCCGTCTCACAACGCACCTTTCAACAGCTTATCACCTCACCTTGAACAGCTTATCAACTCCTTTTGAACCTTATATCTCCTCACCTTGAAGGGGTTATCAGCGAGCCTACTGCCTCGTCACCTCGAGCGCTCAAACGCCTGCTTCTCCAATTCTTGTTTGATTGAGCCGTCTAACACACACACACCTTTCACCAGCTCATCTTCTCACCTTGAAGGGGTTATCAGCAAACATCTCGAGCGCCTGCTGCCGCGTCACCTCGATCCGCTCAAACGCCTGCTTCTCCTTGGCTGCCTTGCCCGCCTTGCCCTCAATGGCCTTGAAATGCTCGTCGTTGAGCGTGCGTTCCCCGTAAAACGCATCATAGTAGAACCCCTGTGTATGGAGAGGAAAACAGAGGGGGCGAGAGAGATGGATGGAAACATAGCAGGACATGAGCCTTCAATGCCTTGCCCTCAATGGCCTTGAAGTGCTCGTCGTTGAGCGTGCGGTCCCCATAAAACGCGTCATAGTAGAATCCCTGTCACAGAGGAGGAAGCAGGAGCGGGTGCGTAGGGGAGATAGATAGGATAGCACAAGCACTGTGCAAGTGAGCATTCTCCGCCTTGCCATCAATGGCCTTGAAATACTCGTTGCTGAGAGTGCGCTCTCTAAAAAATGGGTGGGGTGAGAGTCGCAGTAAAACCTTTGTTATGAGCCCAATGCACAGGTGGCTTGCTGGCACCTGCACCCTCTTACCTCCCTATTTATCCTCCTCCCCATGCTCTTAACTTCCCCTCCTCCCGTTCCTCTCCACTTTCTCTCACCTCGCCTTGTGTGGTGCACCCAATGCACAACGACCTTATACCCCACACCTGCCTTCCTCACTTCCCTCCCTTTTTCTCCCTTCCTGTAATTCATTCCTTCATTCCTCCCATTTCTCCCACTTCTTCTCACCTCGCCTCGTGTGGTGCACGGCCCAATGCACAGGTGGCACCCGCACTCCCTCCCTTGCTCCCTTCCCTCCCCTCCCTTGCTACCCTTCCCTCCCCTCCCTTGCATCCCTTCCCTCCCCTCCTTCCCTTCCCTTCCTCTTCCCTTCCTCGCTCCCCGCTTCCCCACGCCCCTCACCTCGCCTCGTGTCGTGCACGGCCCAATGCATAGGTGGCACCCGTACTCCTGCTCCAGAGCCTGGGAGAAGGGAGAAGAGGAGAGGAGAAGGAGGAAGAGAAGAGGGAACGCATATCGGATGGGAACAAGAGGATAAGAGCACAGAAGGAGGCTGGGACGCCCGACCAATGCACAGGTGGCACCCGTACTCCTGCTCTAGAGCCTGGGGGAAGGAAGGAGAGAGAGAAAGGTAGCACAGATACAACGAGGGCAATTAAAAAGGACGCTTGCACCGTTTTACGAACTGTTCTAGTAGCACGTAAGATACTGCTCAATAACGCGTACAAGTAGTCATTATAACGCGTACCTCCCCCAGGATGTGAGCGCTGGAGTGGCAGAAGGTGTCCATCCCCTCGTCGTCCTCAAATGTGAACAGCTGCAGCGCGCAGTCACCTTCCAGGGGGCTCCTAGGGGCTACTGTCGTGACTACCAGGAGGGACCAAGGGACGCCTATAACGCGTACAAGTACTGCATATAACGCGTACCTCTCCCAAAATATGAGCGCTGGAGTGCCAGAAGGTGTCCCTCCCCTCGTCGTCCTCAAACGTGAACAGCTGCAGCGCGCAGTCACCTTCCAGGGGGCGACACATGTCCCACAACACGCCATCCACCTGTCAACGGGAGGGAGGGGAGGAGCGAGAAGCATGAGTTATATTAAACGAAATGAGGGAGAGGAGAGGAGTTGGAAGAGGGAAGAGCTGCAGCGAGCAGGACCCCTCCAAGGGGGACGCATGTCCCACAACACGCCATCCACCTGTCAACGGGAGGGGAAAGGGAGAGATGGACATGAACAATAGGATTTCAACAGGAGGAGTTGGCGAGGTTTGGTCACGAGGGAAGAGCTGCAGCGAGCAGTCGCCCTGCAGAGGGCGACACATGTCCCACAACACGCCATCCACCTGTGAAGAGGAAGGTAGTGAGTGAGGAGTGACACACGTACGTATGGATTGAAAGAAGGCGGTTTGGTCAAGAGAGGGCAGCTGCAGCGAGCAGTCACGCTCCGAAACCCGACACATGTCCCACAACGTGCCTCGCTCGCGAGATGTCCTTCGCCACGTCCATTGGGGAGGTCTCCCACTAGTCTCACCTGTATGTTCACCTGAATGTATCTCCGACCCCCAAGCAGCTCTCACCTTGGAGATGATGGCACTGTTGGCGAGTCCCTGCGACATGCCCTTCGCCACGTCCATTGGGGAGGTCTCCCACTTCTTGCCCTCCTTGGGATCAAATCACAGCACTGCCACTCGTGCATGTATTCACCGCGACCAAACCTGCTGCTCACCTGGGTGCTCAACTCGAAGGAGCTTGTTCTCACCTTGGAGATGATGGCGCTGTTGGCGAGCCCCTGCGAGATGCCCTTCGCCACGTCCATTGGAGAGGCTCCCCACTATCAGTCCTACATAACACCACCGTCACTCGCAACTTGACTGCGACCAATAGCACTCTCACTTGGACGTCAACCTCTCTCTCACCTTGGAGATGATGGCGCTGTTGGCGAGTCCCTGCGAGATGCCCTTCGCCACGTCCATCGGGGAGGTCTCCCACTTCTTGCCCTCCTTCACAGCACCGTCGGGCAGGGTGATCCTAGCGAACGTGACACAAACGGTGGGGGGGGCAGAGGGGAAGAGGTGGGAAGGAGGGAGGTGGGGGGAGGGTGGAAGGGGTGGGGTGGGTGGAGTCACGGATTGGATCGGATGAGTATTAGCAGGTGCAAGAGAAACCTCCATAAAACCCTGCATTCCCTCAGTGGTACCCGATTTGCTTCCTTTTTCCTGACTTTTCAGCATTGTCACGCTTTGACCTTAAGTGAACGGATCGCCAGCGGTTTTCTCTCTCTGCGCGGCCTCGTCCACCTAACTATTCATTTTCCTCTATCGTTACTGTCACGCGAGTTATTGTCACAAACTAAACGAATTGATCTCACTTGATCGGATCGCCAGCGATCTTCGCCCTCTGCTCTGCCTGCTCCTTCTGAAGCGCCTCGAACATCTCGATCCTCCTCTTGAAAAACGCCTGAATCTCCGGCGCGATCTTCGCCGCCTCTTTCGCAGCGGCAGCCGCGGCGGCGGCGGCCTTGTCGGCGCCCTTGTCAGCACCCTTCGCTTTGGCGGCTTTCTCGGGTTTCGCGGAAGCGGCGGCAGCGGCGTCGGCTGCTGGCGCGGCGTCAGCCAACGAGGCGTCAGCCAGCTTCTCGGCCACGTCATTCGGACTCATCTTGACGTGTCAATTAAAGTATCAACGTCTACCGAGGCTGTCTCTCCAATGCGACGAAACGTCAACGGCAACACTCGTACAAGATACGGAGTGTGGGGTAACAGTAGTAGCTAACTCGGCGAACTGGCAGAGACAGGACGAAAGATGGGAGAAAACTGACTAAGCGTTCCCAGAGACAGGCGAAAGAGACTGGAGGACCCCGCAAGTGCTGGGTGACAGGCTAACAGTGTACGTAGAATAATCTACAGCGCATAACCTGAAGCCGCGGCGTAAGTTGCGGGATCAGCAGTCAGTCCCAGATTCGCTAAGGAAAAGGAATCTACTGTTGTCGGTTGCGGTTTTTGTGGGTGCAAGCGGAGCATCGAGAATCGGCGCTGAGGCATGGCGGGGAAAGCGGAAAGGTGGGGGGATGCGGGTGGGGAGAATCGGCGAACACGCACAGTGATTGGGTGATGGGGGAACGGCGCAACCGACCTTGTGGTTGGATTTGCGGTTGCGAGAATACAACGAACGCATTCGCTAACAATTCACGAACTACACACCCTGGATCAAAATCACAACAAAAAGGAGCACTGCACTTAAGGCATAAGGTCTGAGCAATAAAAATATTGTATAGATAGGATGTAGCACCGGTATATTATCATTTTCACTTTCGTGCTCCATAGATTAGAGCATGCAATTGACCCAGGCTACAGAAACCGGAAACAGCTTGCTAAATACGGCTGCGAGGGCCGATGGGGCTGCCACCCTCAAACGCCTCTTCAAGCACTTCTTCAACTCGCTTTGTTGGAAGGATCTGACATGAAAAAAGACCACGAGGATATAACGGACACATTTCCAGGACAAATGGCATGCATTCAGGGCACCACCACCTCCAATGCTCGCTTCATTAGTACAGCCATTCACCGACACCTGTACATCCTTTCTTACCCAGAGCGGAATATCCAAACCTACTTACGGATGCAATGCGACCATTCATGCCCCCATTAACACAAAATCATTCCCTCTGCAGGCAAGCAGCACTCACATGCATGCCTAGTCAACCCATTTTGGCACAGGACATGGCATCTTACCGCCATGCTTGCCATAGTATCCTACCACCAGGCATGATGCCAAATCATCCCATTTGCACACATGCCTTGTTATCCTACATCCATGCATGATGCCACATCATCCAACTTACACACATGCCACGTCAGCCTACCTCCATGCATGCCAGCACAGCAGCTGGCACCTCCTGGAGATCCTTGATGTTCTTTTCGGGCAGAATAACTCGCCTGATGCCGCAGCGATGGGCAGCGAGAATCTGAACAGCGAAAAAGGAAAAAGAGGAGAACAAGGGAAGCAGGAGAACGGGCAGAAAAGAAGAGGGAGAGGCAGGAATATGACTGAGAGATGAAGGAAGGCGGAGTGAGTGCATGCGGCCAAGTGCAACTGTGATGGAAATGCAAGGCAGGAGATTATGAGAATTTTTCCATTCTCATTTGCACCATTGCGCACCATTGCAACCACGCTCACCTTCTCCTTCACGCCCCCAACTCCCCAGTCATGGCCGTGTCGGAGCGCACACAGCGGTTGGAGACGAGAGACACGAGTGCGGTTACCAGCGTAACACCAGCGCACACAGCGATTGGAGAGGAGAGGAGAGGAGAGGAGAGGAGAGGAGAGGAGAGGAGAGGAGAGGAGAGGAGAGACAGTGGTGCACTGATGAGAACTCACCTTCTCCTTAACCCCTCCTACAGGCAGCACCAGGCCTCTGAGTGTGAGCTCGCCGGTCATAGCCGTGTCGGACCGCACACAGCGGTTGGAGAGGAGAGACACGAGTGCAGTTACCAGCGTAACACCAGCCGATGGGCCGTCCTTGGGCACAGCACCTGGAGTGAGTGGGAGGGAAGGCAACACAAGGGAGATCAGTCCATTGAGGAGAGACACGAGCGCGGTTACCAGCGTAGCTCCGGCCGAAGGGCCGTCCTTGGGCACAGCACCTGGAGTGCGTGAGTGGTAAGGCAAGAGAACCCGAGCTTGAAAAACGCAGCAAGTGGTTTTCTGGCATGTTGCAGTGCAGACAGAGGTTGGAGAGCAGAGAATTCTAAAAAAACAGCTTTTTGAGTATTCTAAAAAAATAGTTGCAAGTTGAACTCAGCAAGCCATACAAATTCGGATTGGAGAGATTACATATGCTCACCTAAGAGATCGGAGGCAGCATATGTAATGTGTTGGAAGTTAGAAATGGGTTCAATTTGGAAAGCGCAAGTGTTACCTGCGGGGAAGTGGATGTGAGTGTCTCGTCCCTCCATGAGGTTGCGAGGGAGAGGCACGGGGTTGGTCGAGGAGGAGGAAGATGGGGGGAACTGCTGCTCTTGCCACTGGCAACAAATGTGGCTGTTGCCATTATAGCAGTCCTCATGTGGCTTCTTGCAGCAGAGCACAAGTGCGTGCAATGCCTTACCTGCGGGGAAGTGGATGTGAATGTCTCGCCCCTCCATGAGATTGCGAGGGAGAGGCACAGGGCCAGCTGATGATGCGATGTTGCTGCCACGGCGGATGCTGCTACTGCTGCTCTTGCCGTTGGTAATAGCAGCAGTGCTCGGGTAGGCCATGCTCGCATAAGCAGAAGCATCAGCAGCGGCCGAGGGAGAAGCAGCAACAACTGCAGCAGCAGCAGACGGAGCAGCAGAGCGAGAAGCAGCAGTGGCATAAGTACCAGCAGCAGCAACAGCAGGAGTAGCGGAGACAGCAGGAGGAGCAAAGGAGGAGGGATGGATGGTGGGGACGACAGTAGGGGGAGAGGCGGGGGAGGAGGAGACAGCGCCGTAGGGGCCGAGAGGAGGGAGGTGGTCGGGAGCAGGTGTGGTGTCATCGAAGGGATGGTCTGATGGTGTGAAAGGCGGAGAGGAGGAGGAGGGAGGGGTGGAGGTAGGGGGTGGTGGGAAGAGCTCTGCTGCCCTGGCACGGACCTGAGAGGGTCGGGGTGACGTATACAGGGCATTGTGAAGAAAGGAGGGGGGAAAATATCAGGGTTGAGGAAGAGAGGGAAGGGGAAGGTGATCAGGAGCAGGAGCAGAGTCATCGAATAAATGGTCTGATGGGGTGAATGGCGGAGGAGAGGAGGGAGGGGTGGAGGTAGGGGGTGGTGGGAAGAGCTCTGCTACCCTGGCTCGGACCTGAGGGGGAATGGGACAAAGAAGAGAGGGGATTGGGGAAGTAGGGGAGAAAGAGAGGGGATGAGGAAGAGAGGAAGGGGAGGTAGGGGTTGGTGGGAAGAGCTCTGCTGCCCTGGCACGGACCTGAGGGGGTTGAGAAAAAATAAAGAGGGAATTGGAAACAGAAAGGGCAGAAAAGGGAGAGTGGATGAGGAAGAGGGGAGACAAGGAAGAGAGGGGTGAGGTGGTCAGCAGAGACGGCGTGGCGTCATTGAATGGGTGGTCTGATGAGGTGAGAGGCGGAGGAGAGGAGGAGGGGGCGGAGGGGGCGGAGGAGGTGGAGGGTGGTGGTGGGAAGAGTTCGGCTGCCCTGGCACGGACCTGAGCGGGTTGGGGGAAAGAAGGCAGGGGATTGGGGTAAAGAACTGCACCTCTGAGTTGACACGGAAATCACCTCATTACAATGGCGCACATGCAGAAAACACTGTTAACCACATTGCCCAGTCAGATGCAGCTTCTTGAGGCGCCTCAAAAATTGACACAAAAATCATTTCATTACAATGGTTGACGCGAGGGGGTTTTGATGGTCTGGGTTTTGGCGAAAGATTCCGAATTCGCTTTTTTCGTTTTTTTCGCCGACCCAGCCCGCCCTCGTATTTCGCCCTGGGGGTTGGTTCAGTTCCCAAAAGTCCCAAATTGCAGGCTGGCTTTTTTTTCAAACCTTGCAAACACTAGTTCGTCAAGTTTTAAAAGCTTGACCCGCGCGGCCCGCAATTTGGGCCGCGGGCTTTAACCAGATGCAGACAACATTGTTAACCACATTGCCCAGTCAGATGCAGCTCTTCCCCTTCCCCACCGTCTCTGTCGCTTTGGAAAAACTGCACCTCGCCCCCAACTGCGGCTCTGCTCATGCCTCTCCACCCTCCCATCCCTGGAAACCTCACCCATATGAACTCAACCAAATACACTTAATGCGATTCATATTCATTCTAAACTTATCCAGTGAGCACAATTTAGGTGGACTCCTTGAACACCTCTCCCAGCTGCCCTGTCAAATGCAGCTCTCCCTTCCCCACCCTTTCGGTCTTGAATGACACCCCCCAGCTGTCTGTAGCTTCAACAAACTGCACCTCGCCCCCCACTGCCGCTCATGCCTCTCCAGCTTCATACACATACTAGTTATAAGCTTACCCAGGCGAGAGCAATCTGGGCAGACTCTTTGATCACATCTCCCAGTTGTCCAGTCAAACTGCACCTCGCCCCCCACTTTTGCCCATGTCTCTCCCCACCCGTCCATTCCTTGTATTCCAACCTCGTCTCACACTTCTATTCGTTATAAACTCACTCACCAGGTGAGAGCAATCTGGGCCGATTCTTTAATGACGTCCCCCAGCTGTCCAGTCAAATGCAGCTCCCCTTCCCCACCATGTCTGCCGCTTCTACAAACTGCACCTTGCCCCCCCCCCCCACTGCCGCTCATGCCCCTCCAGCTTCATACACATGCTCGTTATAAGCTCACCCAAGTGAGTGCAATCTGGGCTGACTCCTTAATGACGTCCCCCAGCTGTCCTGTCAGATGCAGCTCCCCCTTCCCCACCATGTCTGTCGCTTCAACGAACTGCACTTCCCCCCCCACTGCGGTCCACACCAGCCCCACCGCCACTCCCGGCGTCGCAACCCTCTCTGCTGCCTCCCTGCCGTCAAACTTGGGAGGCTGAGATGGGGCAGGAACGGGGATGATGTCGCACAAAGTAAGGGAACAGAGAGGGATGAATGATGAGACAAGGGAGAGGCTTCAACGAACTGCACTTCGCCCGCCACTGCCGTCCACACCAGCCCCACCGCCACTCCCGGGGTTGCAACTCTCTCTGCTGCCTCCCTGCCATCAAACTTGGGAGGCTGAGATGGGGAGAGGGGAGAGGGGAGAGGAGAGAAGAGAGAGGGGAAGGGAGAGAGACAGGGGAAAGGAAAGAGGGGGGCAAAAGGGGATTCAACGGACTGCACCTCGCCACCTACTGCCGTCCACACGAGCCCAACCGCCACCCCTGGGGTTGCCACCCTCTCTGCTGCCTCCCTGCCATCAAACTTGGGTGGCTGAGAGAAGGGAGATGGGGGAAGGAAAGGAAGAGAAACAGGGGAAAGGAAGGCGGGGGCAAAAAGGGAATGTAACGAACTGCACTTCGCCACCAACTGCCGTCCACACCAACCCAACCGCCACTCCTGGTGTTGCCACCCTCTCTGCCGCCTCCCTGCCGTCAAACTTGGGGGGCTGGAAGACGGGAGAGAAACAGGGGAAAGGAAAGAGGGGGCAAAAGAGGCTTCAGCAAACTGCATTGAGGGAAAACGGGGTAGTGTTAGGCAGAGTGAGAGAAGCGAGTGACTGAACTGCCACTCCCGGTGTTGCAACCCTCTCTGCTGCCTCCCTGCCGTCAAACTTGGGAGGCTGAGACACGACGCGAGGAGAGGGGCAATGAAGAGAAACGGAGAGGGGGAGAAGGGAGGGAAAATGGGTTGGTGTCGCAAGTTGCAGAGTAAGGGAAAGGGAGAGGGGATGGGGTATGGGGGCCAAAAGAGGCTTCAACAAACTGCACTTCGCCCCCCACTGCCGTCCACACCAGCCCAACCGCCACTCCCGGTGTCGCCACCCTCTCTGCTGCCTCCCTGCCGTCAAACTTGGGTGGCTGGGAGAAGGGAGAGGGGGGAAGGAAAGGAAGAGAAACAGGAGAAAGGAAAGAGGGGGCCAAAAGAGGCTTTTACAAACTGCACCTCGGTCCCCTCTGCAGTCCACACCAATCCAACTGCCACTCCCGGTGTTGCTACCCTCTCTGCTGCCTCCCTGCCGTCAAACTTGGGGGGCTGAGATGGGGAGAGGGCCAAGGTAGAGGAGAGGGGAGAGACGGGTGTTGGGGAGAGGAGCGGAAAGGGGCCTATTTCCCCTGTGGCGTCAACAAACTGCACCTCCCCCCCCACTGCCGTCCACACCAGCCCAACCGCCACTCCCGGTGTCGCCACCCTCTCTGCTGCCTCCCTGCCATCAAACTTGGGGGGCTGGGAGAAGGGAGAGGGGAGAACGGAAGGAAGAGAAACAGGGGAAAGGAAGGCAGGGGCAAAAAGGGAATTTAACGAACTGCACTTCGCCCCCCACTGCCGTCCACACCAGCCCAACCGCCACTCCCGGTATCCCTGCCGCCAAACTTGGGAGGCTGAGATGGGAAGAGGGGTGAGGGGAGGGAGACGTGGAGACAGAGGGGGCGGGGTTGGTGTAGTGCAGAGTAAGGGAAGGGGAGAGGGGAAGGGCGAGGGATGGTAAAAGGAGGGAGGGCTTCAACAAACTGCACCTCGCCCCTCCCCACTGCCGTCCACACCAGACCAACTGCCAGTCTGCCACTCCCGGTGTTGCCACCTCTCTGCTGCCTCGCGCGAGAGCGGACACGAGAGATGGGTACACGAGAGCGGACCGGACCAACCGCCACCCCCAATAATGCATATGCAACCCTTGTACCCATCTTAATACAAACCATACAAGCATGCGGCCACACGTCACACACACATCACAACCTACCCTTCTGCCATGCTATCACCAACCCAATGCCAATGCCGTGCCATGCTGCCACCACTCACACGCCACCACCACCCTAAATGCCAATCCCATGGTATCCCCACTCACCCCCAGCACTTTCTCCAGCATCTCCTCTGTGACCTCAATTGGGTTTGAGCTTGCGGTGCCCAAGGATCTGAATTCATGAGCTTGCCACCATGCTGCGGTTTGAGCTTGCGGTGCCCAATAACACCAAATCTAATATCAACCCTAATTCCATAATGCTATGCCACCATGCTGCCATGCTGCCATGCCACCACACCACTCACCCCCAGCACTTTCTCCAGCATCTCCTCTGTGACTTCAATTGGGTCTGAGTCCGCCATCACTGCTGCCACCTCTTTGCCCTGACAGGGTGGGAGGGGTTCAGTGGCGCGGAGAGAGAAAGAGAACGGTGCAGAACGGTGACGAGGAGGGAGTGGCAACACCTACTACAGCAGCTCCAGCATCTCCTCTGTGACTTCTATAGGGTCAGACTCCGCCATCACTGCTGCCACCTCCTTGCCCTGAATGGAAGGGAGGGTTTCAGTGGCGTGGAGGGAGAAGGAGAGCGGTGCAGAGAGTTGAATAAGAGGGAGCTGCAACATTTACTAGAGCGTCTCATCTCCTCTGTGACCTCGATTGGGTCTGAGTCCGCCATCACGGCCGCCATCTCCTTGCCCTGACAGGGTGGGGTGGAGAGGGAAGGCGAGCGGTGCAGAGAGGTGAAGAGGAGGGAACACTCCAACATCCATTCTTCTCCAGAATCGCCTCCGTGACCTCGATTGGGTCAGAGACCGCCATCACTGCCACCACCTACCTCCTTGCCCTGACAGGGTGGGAGGGGTACAGGGGTTCAGTGGCGTGGAGGGAGAAGGAAAGCTGTGCAGAGAGGTGAAGAGGAGGGAGCTGGAGCACAGAATATCCTCTGTTACCTCGATTGGGTCTGAGTCCGCCATCACTGCCACCACCTACCTCCTTGCCCTGCGGGAGTGGCAGGATTGAGGAAAGATTGGAGACATGTGGGGTGAAGGGGAGTGGAGAATGGTAGAGGCAGTTGCAGAGAGATTACACGGTGGTCGTGGTCATCTGTAACCACGTGATCAAAGGTTGATCTTGAGACGTCTCAAAAGCTGCCACCTGGAGGGTCAACGGATAACAGTTGCACGAATGCGGTCTGACATTGATAGAGTGTGGCGGAGGGGAGTGGACAGGAGTGGAGAGGAGTGGAGAGATCACAGAGTGCAGCATGCAACCACCTGACCAGGACACACAGAACCACATTGCACCGCTTGAACCCATCTCAACCCACCTTCACGCCAATTGCCAGAGCCTGAATTTGGAGATCTCTCAAAACTCACCTCCTCCATGCCCATAGCCTCCACTTCCATCTCGAGCTCCGCCTTGGCACTGCCTGCACCGCACTGCACCTCGCTCCACCACTCTGTAATGGTCTCCGCTCACCTCCATGCCCATAGCCTCCACTTCCATCTCGAGCCATGCCTTGGCGTCCCGCACTGCTGCTGTGGCCACTTTAGTCTCTGCTAGTGGAAGACATGGAACTGAGCAGCAGTGCGGTGCACGGCATTGCATCGCACTGGACCGGTATCCACTCACCTCCACTCCTATCGCCTCCACTTCCATCTCGAGCTCCGCCTTGGCGTCCCCCACTGCTGCTGCTGCCACCACTCTAGACAGATTTTACTCGTGGAAAACATGGAACTGCATTGCACCGCACTCCACTGAACTGGACCGGTATCCACTCACCTCCATGCCTATCGCCTCCACCTCCATCTCGAGCTCCGCCTTGGCATCTCCCACTGCTGCTGCTGCCGCCAGCGGGTCAGCCGTGTTGATAGTAGCAGCTGAGATGGGTGCACCAGCAGGAGCAGAGCCAGAGGTAGAAGCCGTCCCAGTGGTCCCGCTCACTTCCCTCGCTATGCGGATGCAGCGATTGGACTGGGCCACCTGTGGGTGGTGGGGTGGAGGTTGAAGGGGTAGGTGGAGGCGATACAGGAGAAAATCATGAGGGTCAGCCGTGGGAGAAGCAGCAGCAGAGCTGGGTGCACCGGCCGTGCCAGTGGCAGGGACAGTCCCAGGAGCAGGGGGGGTCTGCTCGCTTCCCTCGCCACGCGGATACAGCCATTGGACTGGGCCACCTGTGGGTGGTGGGTGGTGGGGTCGTGGAAGGGGTGAGGGAAGAGAAATATGAGAGTGAGGTGGCAGCAGCAGCAGAGCTGGGTGTACAGGCAGGGGCAGTGGGGGTCCTGCTCACCTTCCTCGCCACGCGGATGCAGTGATTCGACTGGGCTACCTGGTGGGGGGTTGGAGTGGAGGGAAGAAAATATGCGAGTGAGGTGGCAGCAGCAGAGCTGGGCGTACAGGCAGGGGCCACGTGTATGAAGATTTGTTTTGAGACGTCTCAAAAGAAATATGAGAGTGAGGTGGCAGCAGCAGAGCTGGGTGTACAGGCAGGGGCAGAGCCAGGGGCAAGGGGGGACCCGCTCACCTCCCATCCCAAGCCAATCGGATGCGTCGATTGGACTGGACCACCTACCTGGAGGTGGAGGGCGGTGGTGGAAGGTGGAGGGGTGGTGCAACATGTCAAGCAAGCTGTGCTGTGTTGAAGTAGGCTAGTGCTGGCAGCATCGCCAGCAGTCGTTTTTGAGGCGCCTCAAAAACGACCTCAATGCGGGCGGTGGTGGAAGGTGGAAGGTGGAGGGGTGGTGCAGCATGTCAAGCAAGCCGTGCTGTGTTGAAGATTTTTGAGGCGCCTCAAAAATCGGAAGGTGGAAGGTGGTGGTGCAACATGTGAAATGTCAAGCAAGCCGTGCTGTGTTGAAGTAGGCTAGTGCTGGCAGCATCGCCAGCAGTCCCAGGGGCCAGGGTGGTGCTAACTTCCCTTGCCGCAAGTCAACCAGAGTCAACCAAAGTCAACGCACCTGCACAGCAGCGTGCCTCGCCAGTGCTGCCAGCAGGCGACTCAGATTCCTCACTCCTGCCTCACGAGTATAGCGCGTTATCAGCAACTCCACCGCGTGCTGTTGGTGCAAGAGGGAATCGGGGGATGGAGGGGGCGAAGAAGGGAAAGGGGATGGGTAAAGGGGGAATTGGGGAAAGGGGAAGAGCTAAGGAGAGAAGGACGTCTGGATTGGTCCATCGACCAAGAGTTAAAGCACTGTTCACAACGCACGCACTAAAGCCAAGAATAGTAGCAAGTAAAATCAAATCGAATCTCACATCCGAGACATGGAGGTGGTGATTGGTGATTGGAGGTGGCTGTGCTGCTCCAGCACGCGGGGATGAGGTGGCGCGTGGCGATTCGCTGCACTATCTAACTGAGGATCCACAGGAGTCACATTCAATACAATGCAACCCACAAAGCAGCGAATCAAATCGAATCTCACGTCAGAAATATGCAGATGGCGCTTGGTGATTCCGTGCTGCTCCAGCACGCGCGGGATGAGGTGGCGCGTGGCGATTCAGTGCACTATCTAACTTGGGATCCACAGGACTTACTTACAATACAATGCAAGCAACCCTAAAAGTAGAGAGTCATATCTCACATCGGAGATGTGGAGGTGGCGCTTGGTGATGCCGTGCTGCTCCAGCACGCGCGGGATGAGGTGGCGCGTGGCGATTCGCTGCTTCTCCTCGGGGGTGTAGCCCGGCAGCTCAATCACCTCCATGCGGTCCAGCAGAGCGGCTGGGATGGGTGCTGCGCGGTTGGCCGTTGCCACAAACACCACGCGGGAGAGATCAAAGGGGACTCCCAGGTAGCTGGTGGATTGAGGGGTGAGAGAGATGGGGGGAGAAGGGGAGATTGGGTGCCTCTTCTGGGGGCAAGATGGGGGGAGAAGGGGCGATTGGGTGCCTTCCCCTCGGGGGGAGATGGGGGGGAGATGGGGGAAGATGGGGGGGAGAAGGGGAGATTCGCTGCTTCTCCTCGGGGGTGTAGCCCGGCAGCTCAATCACCTCCATGCGGTCCAGCAGAGCGGCTGGGATGGGTGCTGCGCGGTTGGCCGTCGCCACAAACACCACTCGTGAGAGATCAAAGGGGACCCCCAGGTAGCTGGTGGATTGGGTTGGGGGAGGGCAGGAAAAAGGGGAGACAGCAGAGGGAGGGACAGGAGACTAGGCGAGGGAAGAAAGGGGCTGGGATGGGTGCTTCGCGGTTGGCCGTTGCCACAAACGCCTCCCGCGAGAGATCAAAGGGAACCCCCAGGTAGCTGGTGGATAGAGGAGGGGAGAGGGAGGGAAGTGATTGAAATGGAAGAAAGCGGCTGGGATGGGTGCTGCGCGGTTGGCCGTTGCCACAAACACCACGCGCGAGAGATCAAAGGGGACTCCCAGGTAGCTGGTGGATTGAGGGGTGGGAGAGATGGGGGGAGAAGGGGCGATTGGGTGCGTCTCCTGAGGGGGAGATGGGGGGAGAAGGGGCGATTGGGTGCCTTCCCCTCAGGGGGAGATGGGGGGGAGGTGGGGGGGAGATGGGGGGGAGAAGGGGAGATTCGCTGCTTCTCCTCGGGGGTGTAGCCCGGCAGCTCAATCACCTCCATGCGGTCCAGCAGAGCGGCTGGGATGGGTGCTGCACGGTTGGCCGTCGCCACAAACACCACCCGCGAGAGATCAAAGGGGACTCCTAGACAGCTGGAGATAAGAGGAGGAAGGGTGGAAGGGGGGAGGGAGGAAAAGGATACGTGAGGGAAGGAGCAGGGAAACAAGTGTTTGGGATGGGTGCTGCGCGGTTGGCCGTGGCCACAAAAACCACCCGCGAGAGATCGAAGGGCACCCCCAGGTAGCTGGTGGATTGGATTGGGGCGGAGAGGGGGGAGCGGCAGAAAGGGAGATGAGAGGGTCAGCGCATTGAAACAAGTTGTTGGGATGGGTGCTGCGCGGTTGGCCGTGGCCACAAACACCAGCCGCGAGAGATCGAAGGGCACCCCCAGGTAGCTGGTGTATAGGATGGGGGGGCGGAAAAAAAGGGAGACAGGGGAAGGGGGGACAGGGAATTTGGCAAAAGAAGGAAGGACTGCTCCTGAAAGCATTTGTTCTGCTCGGGGTCCAGCACCTGCAGCAGCGCATCAGCAACACTGTACCACAGCCCATTCTCACCGCTCTCAACCCATCTGCCCCACTCACTGGTCCTGGAAGCACTTGTTCTGCTCGGGGTCCAGCACCTCCAGCAGCGCCGCAGCTGGATCACCCCTGGCATCGGCGCCCGTCTTGTCAATCTCATCGAGGAGCATCACTGGGTTGTTGACGGCCACACGCTGGTGGGTGAATGGGAGGGTATGTGGAGAGAATTGTGAGTGCGTTGCTGGCCGTAGCAGCAGGGTCACCCCGGCCCCGGGCGTCGGCTCCAGTCTTGTCAATCTCGTCCAGCAGCATCACTGGGTTGTTGACTGCCACACGCTGGTGGGTGAATGGGAGGGTGAGAGAGAGCAATGCAGCACGAGGGTGAGGATGGACAGGGGAATGTGGGCTTTTCTGGCAGCAGCAGGGTCACCCCTGGCATCGGCGCCCGTCTTGTCAATCAGCCCCAGTCTTGTCGATCTCATCCAGCAGCATCACTGGGTTGTTGACACCCACACGCTGGTGAGAGGTAGCAGGAGAGGGCAGTGGATGGGGGGAGGGTGTGGGGTTGAATGAGATGGGTTGAGGAAAGAGAGGGGCGTTGTCTTTGAGAGGGTCGCCCCTGGCATTGGCGTCGGTCTTGTCGATCTCGTACAGCAGCATCACTGGGTTGTTCACCCCCACGCGCTGGTGAGCGGCGGAGAGAGACAGAGAGTGGGACGAATGCAAGGTGCCCTCTGATATCCGCCTCATCCCCCTTCTTGTGACTCACTATGAACCCCGTCTGACTCCCTCTCCCCCCCTACCTGTTCTCACCTTGACCCCTTCAATCAGTCGCCCCGGCATGCTCCCCTCCCCACATACGTCCTCTGATATCCGCCTCGTCCTTCACCCTTCCCAGAGCTATCTGCTCCGCACAAACTCCCTTTGAGCCCCCTCTAACCCCATCTCCCCCCTCCTTGCTCTCACCTTGACCCCTTCAATCAGTCGCCCCGGCATGCTCCCCACGTACGTCCGCCTGTGCCCTCTGATATCCGCCTCGTCCTTCACCCCTCCCAGCAACTCACTACTAACCCCCTCTAACCCGCTCTAAACCCCCCTGAACCTTCTCACCTTGACCCCTTCAATCAGCCTGCCAGGCATGCTCCCCACATACGCCCGCCTGTGCCCTCTGATATCCGCCTCGTCCTTCACCCCTCCCAGCGCTATCCGCACAAACTAGCACACAAATCCACACTTCCCCTGCTCTCACCTTGACCCCTTCAATCAGTCGGCTAGGCATGCTCCCCACGTAAGTCCTCCGGTGCCCTCTGATATCCGCTTCGTCCTTCACCCCTCCCAGCAATTCACTATTACCCCCCTCCAACCCGCTCTAAACCCCTCTAAACCCCCCCGAACCTTCTCACCTTGACCCCTTCAATCAGTCGCCCCGGCATGCTCCCAACATACGTCCGCCGGTGCCCTCTGATATCCGCCTCGTCCTTCACCCCTCCCAGCACTATCCGCTCCGCACAAACTTGCACCCAACAGCCGCACAACCACCCTACCTTCCCCTGCTCTCACCTTGACTCCTTCAATCAGTCGCCCCGGCATGCTCCCAACATAAGTCCGCCGATGCCCTCTGATATCCGCCTCGTCCTTCACCCCTCCCAGCGCTATCCGAACAAACTTGCGCCCAAGGGCCTTGGCGATGGAAGAGACCAGGGATGTCTTGCCCACGCCAGGAGGACCCACGAAGCACAGCACAGGACCCGTGGCGTCAGGCTTGAGCTGAAGAGTAGGGGAGGTGAGTTAGAAAGGAGAAGAGGGAGACACAATGTGGTTAAGCCACAAACTTGCGTCCCAGGGCCTTGGCAATGGATGAGACTAGGGATGTCTTGCCCACTCCAGGAGGGCCCACGAAGCACAGCACAGGGCCGGTGGCGTCAGGCTTAAGCTGGAAGGTTAGGGGAGGACAGGGGACCGGAGAAAGACCAAAGGAGAGGAGAGAAGATGAGGGAGACACAAACTTGCGTCCCAGGGCCTTGGCGATGGAGGAGACAAGCGAGGTCTTGCCCACGCCAGGGGGCCCCACGAAGCACAGCACAGGACCTGTAGCATCAGGCTTGAGCTGGAGCACAAGAAGAAGAGGGAGACACAAAGGGGGCTAAGCTGCAAAGGCGGGTTGGAGGAGACTAGAGAGGTCTTGCCCAGGGCCTGTAGTGTCAGGCTTGAGCTGGAGAGGAGGGAGGGGCACACAGAGGGTTGCCACAACAGGAAGGGACAGGACACAAGAGGCAGCAGCAGCAGCATTAGTTACCTTACCCATGTCGCTACATCCCACCCCTCCCCACCCCACCCCACCGCACACCACCGCACTCACTCACCTTCCTGACGGCGATGTACTCGAGAATGCGCTGCTTCACCCTCTCCAGCCCAAAGTGCTCCCTGTCCAGCTGTTCCCTCGCTGCCGCCACGTCTATCACCGCGCTGCTGCTGCTGCTGCTGCTGCTGCTGCTGCTGCTGCTGCTGCTGCTGCTGCTGCTGCCAACCCACCCCACCCCACCGCACCCCACCGCACTCACTCACCTTCCTGACGGCGATGTATTCGAGAATGCGCTGCTTCACCCTCTCCAGCCCAAAGTGCTCCCTGTCCAGCTGTCCCTCGCTGCCGCCACGTCTATCACCGCGCTGCTGCTGCTGCTGCTGCTGCTGCTGCTGCTGCTCCTGCTGCTGCTGCTGCTGCTGCTGCTGCTGCTGCTGCTGCTGCTGCTGCTGCTGCTGCTGCTGCTGCTGCTGCTGCTGCTGCTGCTGCTGCTGCTGCTGCTGCTGCTGCTGCTGCTGCTGCTGCTGCTGCTGCTGCTGTTGCTGCCACTGCTGCTGCCACCCCACCCCACCCCACCTCACCCCACCCCACCGCACCCCACCGCACTCACTCACCTTCCTGACGGCGATGTATTCTAGAATGCGCTGCTTCACCCTCTCCAGCCCAAAGTGCTCCCTGTCCAGCTGCTCCCTCGCTGCTGCCACGTCTATCACCGCGCTGCTGCTGCTGCTGCCCCACCCCACCGCACCGCACCCCACCGCACCCCACCCCACCTCACCCCACCCCACCGCACTCCACCGCACCCCACCGCACTCACTCACCTTCCTGACAGCAATGTATTCTAGAATGCGCTGCTTCACCCTCTCCAGCCCAAAGTGCTCCCTGTCCAGCTGCTCCCTCGCTGCCGCCACGTCTATCACCGCGCTGCTGGTGATGCCACCCACCTCACCCCATCCCACCGCACTCCACCGCACTCACTCACCTTCCTGACGGCGATGTACTCGAGAATGCGCTGCTTCACCCTCTCCAGCCCAAAGTGCTCCCTGTCCAGCTGCTCCCTCGCTGCCGCCACGTCTATCAGCGCGCCGCTGCTGCTGCCACCAGCACCACCACCACCAGCACCAGCAGCAGTAACGGGAGACGATATGCCCCAGGGGAGGTCGCTCAGAAGCTCCAGGTACTGACGGGTTGTGCTGTAGCCCGGCTGCTGCGGCTGCATCTTGCGGAGGCGCCTATCAGGGGGAATACAGGTGAGAGGTAGATGCAGGGATAAGAAGATCAGTGCACTGCTGCTGCCAGCACCACCACCACCAGCCGCAGCACCAGCAGCAGTGATGGGAGACGATATGCCCCAGGGGAGGTCGCTCAGGAGCTCCAGGTACTGCCGCGTTGTGCTGTAGCCTGGCTGCTGCGGCTGCATCTTGCGAAGACGTCTGTAAGGGGGGATGGAGCAGCAGAAGAAGAGGAGAATCTGGCATCAGTGTTGCTCGATAAATGCACCAGCACCACCAGCACCACCACCAACACCACCAACACCACCACCAGCACCACCACCACCACCACCACCACCAGCAGCAGCAGTAACGGGAGACGAAATTTCCCAGGGGAGGTCGCTTAATAGCTCCAGGTACTGCCGCGTTGTGCTGTAACCTGGCTGCTGCGGCTGCATCTTGCGAAGGCGCCTGTCAGGGGGATGAAACAGAGATGAGAGGGAGCAGCCAGGATGAATAGGATCAGCCAAAGCATTTGTCCTGTAAGCGTGAAACGCTATTGAGAAGGTTTGAGGGGGACTGATGGGATCGATTAAGCTACCCGTGGTTGCTGCCATTGCGGCCTAGAACAACAACACCAAGGAAAAATACACCTGAAACTTTCATGGCCGCTAAGTTCAGCTAAAAGCATCCTAGTTCCACCCAACCTTTGCCACACATAGTGGGTCGACAGGGGGCCGATAACGGGC